TGGCAGGTCATTCAAACAGAAAATGGTTCCAAACATTAGCAGCAGCACCAGAGTTGCATTGACTTGACTGTTATCTTCCCCGGTAAGAAGGTGAAATCAATATCAGTAATTATACTTGACATTTTAAGTTAGTGACATGTCAGAACCCATTTTACAACCGTTTTGACTGACTCTCTCAAATATTGGGCCACTTTAATAATTGGCACCTAGCTAATTAGCAGAGCTAGTCTATGTACAACAGAACACTGAATTAGTTTGCAAGGCTGTACAAGTAATTAAAAATGGTAATTGCTGATAAATTCAGCTGTTCCCTACAGAAAACAATGGCTGTTAATTCCACTGTTTAAAAATACAGTACCTGTAGCTATGAGTCACATGACCTGCTGCCATTTTTGACCCCTCAGTGTCGCAATCTTAATGGCACTGGGCATAGCTAGCTGCAATAATAATAATTAGGATTTGGTCATTTAATTTAATCAGGTTGCACACAGTTGTAAAAAATACCAATCCTATAATGTTTAGTGTGTGTGTGTGTGTGTGATGTATGCGCAGTTAAGTAAGTAAAAAAAAAATTTTTTTTTTCTGAAAACAAACTTTCTAACTCGTAAATCAGAATTCAACTTGCTGTATTGTCAAAGCCATAACTCATTTTCCACATGTCAATATTGAACTAGCATTATAGAGTGAATTTCCATGTAAACACACTGCAGAAGCTTCTCTGTGAGGGTGCTCTTAATAGCTCCTGCCTGTAACTGTACCCGAAGCTCTGCGAGCTGTTCACTTTGTGTTGCCTGAGTGCGCATGTTTGTTTACTCCGGATCCAGGGATGATCTGGGTAAATAGTTCCTTTCAGCTTAAAGAGGAACAGAAGGGTGCTTACTTGTTCTAGGGCCTGGCTGATCTACCAGCAGCAGTTTAGAGTAGCAGCTGCATCAATTATCCAAACACGTCTGAGTGACGAGCGCTTCAATTGTTCCCAAACACCAGCCATGACTCATCAGAGTGAAAATACACTGCTGTGCTTATTTGGCTGGATACTGCTCACTTTTCAGATTGATGGTCTTGGATCACATCATACCTCTCTAACACGGCGGTGTTGTCCACAGGCTTTGTTGCACATAATTTTTTGACAGAAAAATAATCCATGTAAAATAGAATATTTGTTTAATTCCCCTGTTCATGTTTCACAGCCAAATTTGGCCATATTTAAGGTTAATAGGTCACAACGAGCTGTCATTTCAACCTCAAAGAGAGAAATTGCAATTTGAGACGGGAGCTGGCCTTAAGACAATGTTGGTCTGCAGGCCTGACCTGGTTGGTAAACAGGTTCATGTATATTTATAGTGACAAAGGCTGCGCTGTCACTCACTTTGGTGCTGTAAAGCAGAAGGCCTCAGCTCAGCTTCTTTAGCTACTTGCTCTGCAATAAATAAGTTTGTCTATCTGTCCTCTGAGAGCTGATTGTTGGCGCTTTGCTAATTGCTGGGTATTTGTCTGTTTGTCCATTTTTGTATTTAAGGTTATCTTAATTAGTGCTGTATCAACATTCGCATCATATGGAAAAACTAATGTCCAGTATAATATCCAGTCCCCAAGAGAACCTCCATCAGTGGACTAAACGACTACAGACCTGTCGCCTTAACATCTGTAGTTATGAAGTCCTTTGAAAGACTGGTGTTGGCCCACCTGAAGGACACCGTAGACCCCCTGCAGTTTGCCTACCAGGCAAACAGATCAGTGGACGATGCAGTGAAAATGGCACTGCATTACATCCTGCAACACCTCGACTCCCCAGGGACCTATGCACAGGCCTCTTTGTGGACTTCAGCTCAGCGTTCAACACCATCATCCCGGACATCCTCTACTCCAAACTGACCCAGCTCACTGTGCCTGCCCCCACCTGTCTGTGGATTACCATCTTTCTGACAGACAGGAAGCGGCAGGTGAGGCTGGGGAAAACCACATCCAGCACCCGGACAATAAGCACAGGTGCCCCCCTGGGATGTGTGCTCTCCCCTCTGCTGTTTTCACTCTACACCAGACCCCTCTCTCAAGCTCCTAAAGTTTGCTGATGATGTAGCAGGTGACAGTGGTGTGGTTGGTACAGCAGTTGTCTCACAACCGGAAGGTTTGAGGTTCAAATCTCGGTGCCTACAGTCCACATCGAAGTGTCCTTGACCACACCCGTGATGGCGGCGCATATGCACGCAGTGGCCCAGAGGTCCAAACATAATTTCGTTGTATGTGTCACAATGTTGGCTTCGTCTTCATTGGTCTGGAGGTTGAGCAGCTGGTCCTGTGGTGTAGCTGCAACAACCTGGAGCTGAACACACTCAAAACTGTGGGTGTTTCACCATACTTGGCAGAACTGTATCAGCAGTGAAGTCCTACAAGTTCCTGGGCTCCACTATCTCCCAGGACCTGAAGTGGACGACCATCATCGAGAAGGCATAGCAGAGGATGTACTTCCTGCGCCAGCTCAGAAAAATGTATCAAAAATGTATCTACATTGTGTGGACCCGTATGTTAGCAAGTTGATTGGTTGATTTATCTTGACATCTTTTGAAAACTGTGGTTTGCTTCCCCTGCTGGACATATGCCTGACCCACAGAGGTCTAATAGGAAATGTGAACACCTCAAAACCTCTCCTATATACATCCACTTGGGTGCAGCACAGAAAGGCATAATTTTGGCTTGAGGAGGAGGCTGCAGTGTCTAAGATCCTGGCTTTACAGGCCCACTGGTAATAGAATCAGTTTTGGGAGGGGCAAGGTAATACATCAAGTTGTCTGCTCCTCATGGGCAACTAGAAGTGACCAAGATTTGTTGTACTATTTCCCAGGACAACTGGATCACTTCAGTGAAATGGTCTGTTACATTAATTTATACTTAATAGTCCTAAATAGTCAGTATTACACTCATCTGAACACTTCTGAAGAGTTAAATGAAAGCTGACAGTGTTTTTCACAAAAGATGTTTTAATATGTGACAGAAGGAAAAGCAGAGGTGTAAATTTTAATTGTGACAGCTTGAATGCCAATTTAGCTGCTTCACTTTCAGGGTCCAGGTTTTGTGCGTGTCGATTTAGTAACAGCTGTGCTTTTTCTGTTTTGACAAGTCGAGCTGTCTGCTGTGAAAAGGGCCTGTTGTGCATTTTTTTTATTTATTTGGCTTTGATTAATTCATTGTACTTATTTAATGTTCACTAAATTTACTGTCAAAGTTTCGTTTTGAATAATTCTTGCAGTTTCATGCTGAAACAGATACACCAGTTTTTCTACAGAAAGTCATGGCACATACTTGCCATCTCTGCTGTGCCTGCTTGCAACATCTATGATTTGTTCAGGTTTTTTTTTTTTTTTTTTAAATAACCAGAGCCACTGAAATCAAATGATTCCTCGCCACTATATTCTGACGACAAACATATTTAAGGTTAATAGGTCACAACGAGCTGTCATTTCAACCTCAAAGAGAGAAATTGCAATTTGAGACGGGAGCTGGCCTTAAGACAATGTTGGTCTGCAGGCCTGACCTGGTTGGTAAACAGGTTCATGTATATTTATAGTGACAAAGGCTGCGCTGTCACTCACTTTGGTGCTGTAAAGCAGAAGGCCTCAGCTCAGCTTCTTTAGCTACTTGCTCTGCAATAAATAAGTTTGTCTATCTGTCCTCTGAGAGCTGATTGTTGGCGCTTTGCTAATTGCTGGGTATTTGTCTGTTTGTCCATTTTTGTATTTAAGGTTATCTTAATTAGTGCTGTATCAACATTCGCATCATATGGAAAAACTAATGTCCAGTATAATATCCAGTCCCCAAGAGAACCTCCATCAGTGGACTAAACGACTACAGACCTGTCGCCTTAACATCTGTAGTTATGAAGTCCTTTGAAAGACTGGTGTTGGCCCACCTGAAGGACACCGTAGACCCCCTGCAGTTTGCCTACCAGGCAAACAGATCAGTGGACGATGCAGTGAAAATGGCACTGCATTACATCCTGCAACACCTCGACTCCCCAGGGACCTATGCATGGGCCCTCTTTGTGGACTTCAGCTCGGCGTTCAACACTATCATCTCGGACATCCTCCACTCCAAACTGACCCAGCTCACTGTGCCTGCCTTTACCTGTCAGTGGATTCCTAGCTTTCTGACAGACAGGAAGCGGCAGGTGAGGCTGGGGAAAACCACATCCAGCACCCGGACAATAAGCACAGGTGCCCCCCTGGGATGTGTGCTCTCCCCTCTGCTGTTTTCACTCTACACCAGACCCCTCTCTCAAGCTCCTAAAGTTTGCTGATGATGTAGCAGGTGACAGTGGTGTGGTTGGTACAGCAGTTGTCTCACAACCGGAAGGTTTGAGGTTCAAATCTCGGTGCCTACAGTCCACATCGAAGTGTCCTTGACCACACCCGTGATGGCGGCGCATATGCACGCAGTGGCCCAGAGGTCCAAACATAATTTCGTTGTATGTGTCACAATGTTGGCTTCGTCTTCATTGGTCTGGAGGTTGAGCAGCTGGTCCTGTGGTGTAGCTGCAACAACCTGGAGCTGAACACACTCAAAACTGTGGGTGTTTCACCATACTTGGCAGAACTGTATCAGCAGTGAAGTCCTACAAGTTCCTGGGCTCCACTATCTCCCAGGAC